CTCCGCTTCACACGAAGAAGCGGCGACAACCTTCTGCCTCACCGATTGCTAGCTGATAGGACTATTCCCGAGAAGGAATAGTATTCCCGAGGTGCTCTTCCGAGAGTCCACGTCACCAGCATGGTCGGAGTCGCTGTATCCGACCAAGCTCTCGTCGTCGCCACGACGATACACGCATCCATGCGTGAGCGTACCCGCGATGTACCGGAGCAGGTGCTTGACGGCAGCAAGGTGATCGCTTGCCGGTGCTTCCATGAACCTACTCAGGTATCCGACAACAAACGTTATGTCCGGTCGGGTGTGCACGAGATACCTGAGGCTCCCGATGATGCTGCGGTAGAGCGTAGCATCCACCGCCTTCTCGGAGCTATCCTTGCTGAGCTTCAGTCGTGCCTCCATTGGAGCATGCACAACATAGCAGTCCTTCATGCCTGCTCGCTCGAGCATCTTGGTGGCGTAGGCCGTCTGCGTGATCGTGATGCAACCACCCTCCTGATTTACCTCCAGTCCGAGGTAGTACCGGAGCAGCCCGAGGTCGCTCATGCTGAAAAGACGATGCATATCTCTCCCTTGAAGCGTCGAACCTCTTCGCGCTCTGCCCCGGCGATGACCAGGTCGTCGACGTAGATGCCGATGATGAGCAATGTGTTCGCGGTGCCACGCGAGTACACGCCGTGCTCAGAAGCGCTGCGTGAGAACCCAAGGGATGCGAGGCTTGCATCGAGCTTGGTGTTCCACGCCCTTGGGGCTTGCTGGAGACTGTACAGGGCCTTGTCTAGCCTGTACACGCCCTGCTCATGGTTCTTGGGAATGAACCCTGGAGGTTGGGAGACGTACACCTCCTCATTAAGGTCGCCGTTGAGAAACGCCGACTTGACGTCCATGTGGTGTACCTCCCACCCGCGGTGAGCAGCCACAGCAAGGATGAGCCGTACGGACTCCAGCCTTGCCACTGGAGTGAAGACTTCCTCGAAGTCCACTCCCTCACGCTACACATAGCCCTTGGCGACGAGGTGCGCCTTGTGCTTGACAATGGCGCCGTGCTCGTCCTTCTTCACCTTGAACACCCACTTAAGGCCGATGACTCGGTGCCCAGCAGGCAGTGTGGTGAGTGTCCAAGTGGCATTGTCGTTGATCGATGCCAGCTCGTCCAGCATCGCGTGGCGCCAGCAATCCTCTTGCTCGGCCTCTGCGAACGTGGCCGGCTCCTCGCCAGCCATCAGATGCAAGACATCGTCGTCATCAACGTCCTCTTCCTCGGGCTGCTGCGGTGTTGCCGCAGCCTCGCCGAGGAGATCCCCCATGCGCCGAAACCTGTGGGGGGCGCCAACGCTGTCGTCGGTGTCGAACAACTCCGACCTTGCTGTTGGCGGGGTTGCGAACTGCCTCCCGGGAACCACCTTTCTTGATGTCGGGGTGTCCGGGGACACCGTACCTGGGGACGGTGTTCTCGGGGTTGCGATTCCCGGATCCACACCTCCCGGGCTTCCCGGGGTGGCACTTCCCGGGGTCCTAGAGTACATCGGGTACTCCACGGTGAAGGAGCTGCTTGCCGGGGCCTCCCCCGACGCCTCCCAAGTCCATCGCGCGTTTTCATCGAAGATGACGTCGCGCGAGACATGCACACGCTTTGAGACAGGGTCGTCCATCGTTTACGCCTTAGAGCCCGTCTCGTAGCCCATGAACATCATTGGGGTGCTCCTGTCGTCGGGCTTCTTCAGCTGTGGGCGCGCCATCTTGACGTGCCCGATGCAGCCAAAGGTGCGGAGGAAGCATACATCGGGCTTCCTCCCATACCACGCCTCGTAAGGTGTCTTGCCGTCGACGCTCCTTGTGAAGGAGCGGTTGAGGATGAATACGGCCGTGAGTACGGCCTCCCCCAATACGTGCTCGGCACCTGATTTGCCTTGAGCATGCAGCGTGCCATCCCGAGCACCGTCTGGTTTCTCCGCTCGACGACGCCGTTCTGCTGCGGTGAGTAAGGGGCTGTGAGGTGACGCTGCACCCCTTTCTCGGCGCAGTGCTTGTAGAATGTGGCCGACGTGAAGTCGCCACCACGGATCATGCGCAGCACGCGCAGCTTGTGGCTGCACTCGACCTCTGTTGCCGCTTGCTGCTTGACGATGGCTCGCTCCGCCTCGTCCTTGGAGGTGAGGAGCAGCACCCACATGAACCTGCTGTAGCGACGCCCTCCTGGCGTTGCCGGGGTGATTGGGCCGCAGACGACGGTCCCGTGCCCATGGATCTCCACCACGGATCCGTCTGCGAATCGCACCTTCCCGGTGATTGAGCGGTCCAGCTCCGCGAACGCGTCGACCAAACTAGTCATGTGGTTCATGGCGCCGGTGTCGAGGAACCAACCCTCACTTTGCTTCCCGCCTGCAAGCGTGGGTGTGGTCACGGCTCTCTCCTCGTTGAGGAAGATGTAGCCGCACGCACACGCTATTGTCAGGGAGCCATCTCCCGTCAACACGGCGGACCCCGAACACTTTGTTGTCGGGGTGTGGCTGACCTGATTGTCCGTGCGCTCCTGCACGGAGTCGATGGTCACCAGCATCATGGTCGGAGCATGGTCCGCCATATGCGTCATTGCCGCACCAACTTGCGCAGCCTCGTCGGGTCCCGAGGTTGTCGGGGACGCCGTCGCCGGGATGTGGCTCCCCCACACCCGAGCCTTCATCGCCTCCCAGTCGACAGGCCCCGAGAACGCCGTTGTCGAGGTGTGGCCTATCACTGGAGTGATGGTTCCCGTGGACGGGCTCTATGCCTTTCGCACGGAATGGGTGGATATCGGAGCCGTGGTCGCGAGAGACACTAAGCTCTCCTACACGGGCTTGACTCTTGCCAGCATCATTGCTGGCCCGCCGTCCACGTCAGCCTAGACGAGGTTTGCCGTTGCCGCGGCTGCCTCGTCGGCTTTCCTTCTGCGGAAATCCCAGATCCAGTGACCCGGCATGTTGCAGTAGCGACACTTGCCACCGTTGCCAGTGCCTCGCCCTGCCTGGTTTGGCTTGCGACCGCGGTTGTTGCCGCCACTCTAGGCGTAGCCTCCGCCTCTGCCGCGACCTCTACTTCCCGTGGGGGCGCCTCCCCCACTGCCGGAAGAGCCGTCGCGGCCGCGCTGCTGAAGCTGCGCGTCCCACTGCTCCCCGATGAGCAATAGTTCACCGCCAGCACGGTTTTTGGCTTCATCGCCGCGCTCCTCGACGACCTTCAGCCGCCCTACCAGCTCCTCGATCGTCATGGTGGAGAGATCCACCAAACTCTCGATGGATCAGGCCAGTTGCTTGTACTGCTTGGGGACGACGCGGAGAAACTTGAGAATCACCATCTTGTTGTCGATGGGATCTCCGAGCGTTGCAAGCTCGGTGACGAGACCTTGCAGCCGCAAGGCGAAGTCGTCGACTTGTTCACCGGCCTTGAACCGGATCTCCTCGTATTGGAGGCGCAAGGTCTGGGCCTTCGACTCCCGTACGCGCTCCACGCTGATGCGCAGAGTCTTGATGGTGTCCCATGCTTCCTTGGCCGTCTCCTTGGCGCCAAGGGTGAGCACCATCTCCGCTGGGACGGAGCGCAAGATTTGCCTCCATCGCCAACCGGTCCTCCTCGTACTCGACATCGCCGGTATCCACGGCTTTCCACATATGCCGCCCCTCCAAGATGACTTTCATCATGACCGACCAACTGGGGTAGTTGGTCCGCGTGAGGAGAGGGAAGGAGGTGCTGGACATGCCCACGTCTCGCACGGAGCGTGGCGCACCCAACTCCCCACCTAGCCTGCCTCGCAGTGCAAGCGCGTCCGCCGCACGCGCCTCCTCAGCCGAGCTCTGCCCGGCGGTCTTGGAGCCGTCGCCCGCGACGCCTTCTTTCGACATATGCTTCGGCATAACCTAAGACTCTGATGCCAATTGTTAGCCCAAACTATCTACTAAATAGCTCTCACTTGTACACTTAACAGAGGAGAACTAGCTAGATGTTTCAGTTACACACAAGCTGCTGCCGCACACACATATGAAGTAAGGAGCTCACGTACTAGCTATAGTATATGAAACTGGCTTGGTGTTTTGCTATTGCTCGGAGGAGTGGCCTTATTACAACCGAAGGACCCGGAGTCCTTTTATAGGGCTGGCTGTGCACAGCGCACACACACACTAGAAAGACTAGTTCAGCTCAGCCTTTTTAACTAGGAAAAGCCAACTACTGCTTAGCTGCTGCTTCTCCTTAGCCTTTTGACTAGATAAAGTCTAATGCTATTTAGCTACTTCTCCACCACAGCCTTTTGAGTGTGAGAAAGCCTAGCATACAACGCCCTTTAGACTGGGTTGATCAACAATGGACACATGATGCAGATTAGTTGGCAAACATTTGATGATCTCAAGTTTTCCATCACTTAGCTAAGGATTCAACCTACACTAAAAGTAACCTGAGGATTGGCGATTGATGGAGCTGCAGAATGTGTTTCCGCAGTAATCCCAAGAAATACAAGGAACAAATTAGAAATGCAGTTAGTTCAAGGGCTTCAAGAATAGAACCCAGGGAGCTCACTTTCATACCCTGTTCTGACCCTGGACCCAATTCAAGGTACTAAGAAGAACCAAGCTCGACTTGCCGTCATTAAGCAAATCGAAAACCATTTTTCTGCCCAGTGCATGACAATGCAAATTAATTAAAGCTTAAAGAGACAACAATGGGCAGTAGTAAGTTCAATGGTCTAATTGCCGGAGCTGAATTCAAAATATTGCAAAAATTGGGCCAACATTTAGCACCACTGGAAATTAAGGACCAGATTGCATGGCTAAGTAGTAAGACAGCAAGCGGTAGTTCGACTAAAGGTGATCTAACCTAGGAACAAGCTGTTTCTTAATTATTACAAGGCAAGGCATATCCAATATGACAAAGCAGATGACTAAAGTGTAATTAGGAGCAATTACTTAGCGAAAGCATAGCCTTGTTGGTCGGTCATCGACATCCCCAGAGTTGAACGAAGATCTGATGGCGCCTTATGGGATCTGTTGCAAGGCCAGCTGAGAGTCCAGGATGTTGATGGTGTAGCTGGAGAGTAGGTGGATGATCGTCAAAGGACGGTCAGCAACGAGGACAAATTTCTTGTCCTGCTTCACGAAATCGGCAGCTTCAAAGATCCTCTCTACTTTCCTGTCCTTGTTGTTGCACTTGAAGATATGAGCGGACGAACCCAATTGTTCAGTGAAGTAGATGCAGTTTGCCTCAATGCCTGGGAACTTATCAGCATCGACAGCCAGGCACCTTTGATGACCCATAAAGATGGCATAGTTGTTGATGTTGTCCAAAGGCACAAGCTTACCTAACTCGATGTCTGTTTTATAAACCAAGATCAATCCCTCTACACTCCCGACGAGCAGCGTTTCGGTAGGCAAACCCACCGGATAACAAAGGTCGTTTGCATGTGGAGACATGAGCGAACAGCATAACCGAGCAATCATGGCGTGGCCTATAGTGTCTGAGTAGACACCGCCTACGACCGCCTTACGGAGGCTGCCATAAGCTACTTGCGGAACCTCGTGAACTACGAAACTCTCACTGTCGGGGTAAGCAGTGTAAGTCTTGTGAGATGAGTCACCGAACAAGGTGAGCCCGAGCACAGAGCAGGCAAGGGTGACGACAGCAGCGGATCCCACCTCGGGGGGCACAGGCGCCACGAAACGGATGACGACACCCGTGAGAGGGTTGAGGATGCTGGCCGCGTGAGGAGGGCTTTTGTCCGCCAGAACCAAGTAGCCATTGCGAGTGGTAGCTACGACATAGTGGTCGCTGAGCAGCGGGAGATTCCTATGGACGAAGCGTCCGCTGTGAGTATTCAGAAGGAGAAACTTCCCTTCGCTCTGGAAGTGCTCGTCGAGGATGATCCACTGGCGCGGGCGGAAGCGAGGGTCGGAGGTGTTGCTCATGGGGTCATCGGTGGCGGCGCGCCAGCTGGGGCTCACGGCTAGGGCTGGACGTCCGAGCGAGCTTTTAGGCTCGGCTCGAAGCTCGCTCCAGCTCGGCCCGTTACAGCTCGGCCCGGTATGATAATTAGGCGAGCCGAGCTATGAAAATAGGCCCGATTCTCGACCGAGCCGAGCCGAGTTTCGCCCGGTCCAGCTTGGGGACTCGTTCAGGCCCAGCCAAATTCGCGTTAGGTCACAGTAGAGAGAGAGCACACACGCGGCGCAGTTTCCTCACCCTTCTCCCTTTCTCTGCCCAGCGCCGCCACCCCTCTCCTCGCTGTGCCGCAGGCTGAACTCATCGGGCTTGGCACCGATGGCGACGGCCGACGCCGCCTTCCCTCACCACAGCGGACACAGACGGACGTGTCTCCCCTGGTTTCTCACCGAACGACAGGAGCAGGTAAGCGATCTCTTCTCTCCTTCCCATCCTTGCCCCTAGCTCCCTGCACTGGCGCACACACACGCACCAATTTGATGGATGGATCATGGATGGATGCTTGTAGTTTCGGTTGGAGGGCGCGGCTAGGCTAGCTAGGAAACAAGATGGATGGATGCTAGACGAGTTTGATGGATGGATGCTTTTGTTTGTTGGCTGGAGAGTGCAGCTAACTAGGATGTATGCTATGCTGCACGAATTTGATTGATGGATGGATGAATTTGTTTGTGCTTGATTGTGTAGACTGATTAGTGATTATTATCTATGTAAATTTTTGTTGATGATTGACCATTTGTTCTTCACTGATGTATGCAGAGCCCCACTGTCGCAAGAATGGACAAGGAAAAGGGGAAAGAGAGGAGGAGAAGGAGAAGGAGAGGAGCTTGATGTCCATTATGAAGACTAAGCTGCTTGTCCCGGGAAGCAGAAGGGGAAGGGCAAGGGCAAGGGTTGTGTCACTGCAGAGGAAGCGGGCCAAGGATTACGGCAATGTCCTGCTCGCCGAGTTGTTATTAAGGGTAAAAAAAGCTCCGCCGCCTTGACGTCTCGCTGACCTTGCCGACGCCAAGAGCCGCACCAACCCTACTGTCCGCCGCTGGATGGTGGATCTCAAGACCGCCGCCTACCAAGGCGACCACGTCCACGAAAACTTCCGCTACGAGGCGCTGCGGCGCTGTGCTGACGACCACATCCGCGGCCCCTCCACCGTGAGTCCTTGTCTCTATTTTCACTTTAATTTGGAAATGTATTTTCTGTTTAATTTGGAAGTGGAAGCCCCGTAATCTATGGAAATTGAAGGCTTTTAATTTTACTGAAATTAAAGATGGTCCTGTGTGGCTCTGTTGTTTTCATTCAGTTTATAAGTGACTACAATTCCTGGCTACATAAGCGTCAGTCTGTCAAGTGTCAAGTGTCAAATTTCAGAGGACACTTGAAATCTAAGCATCAAAGAGGTTCAGTCAGTCTGTCCAGTGTCAACTAACACTTGAGATATTTGTCGAACACGTTCTGTAGTAGAGACGGAATCCTACATCTTCACCGGTATGGTTGTGCCAAATATGTGTGTCCAAGCTTCCGTGTTTGCTGTTTTTGCTATCCAAAGGTCAAATATATGTGTGTGCAAGCTCATGTATGTGTTGTTTTTGGTATCCAAAAGTCAAATATAAGTTTGTACAAGCTCATGTATATGCTGTTTTTGGTATCCAAAAGTCAAATATATGTTTGTACAAGCTCATGTATGTGCTGTTTTTGCTATCAAAAAGTCAAATATATGCGTGTGTCCAAGTTCATGTGTGTGCTGTTTTTGTGTGCTAGGTAATGGAGCATGATAAGCAAGTGGAGAAGGATTATGAAGAGGAGGAAGAGAATGAGGAGGACGAGGATGAGCAAGGTACTGTGTTTGAGGAGGAAGATTCTCATTTTGATGTCAAAGCACCAAGTGTTATGCTATGCAAAATTGCATTGTTTGGCTATCAACGTTCAATATTTTTGTTGTATAAAGTTCAAAGGAGGAGCTGTCCAAAATTCAAAAGCAATGATGCCCAATTCTTTTCATCACTATGACCATATTTAAACCATAGACTGCTAGATGTTGCGTTTTTTACAATATAAAGTGCTTCTTTTCCAAATTATGGCTTTAATTGCTGTAGAAGATCAAAACTGGTCTTTAAAAACAGGTTCTGTTACATCCCAGCTGTTATGGCGCCAGCTGGCTCACGAGCCGGCTCGGTCTGAGCCGAGCCATAACAAAAACGAGCTGAGCCGCCTAAAGCAGGCTCGTTGGCTGAGCGAGCCGAGCCGAACCGAGCCGCTTGAGAGCGAGCCAAAGCCAGGCTCGGATCAAACTCGGCTCGGCTCGGCTCGTGTCCAGCCTTACTCATGGCACGGAAGTGCCTGTAGCAGTCGAGGTCATTGGTGGTCAGTAGGGAGTCGGCGACGCGGCGAACAAGGTCAGGCGGAAGCGTGGACCATTTGGACCAGTCTTCCGCTATCATGGACGGAACCACCGGCGTGGCTTGGGGGAAACTCGGGTCTTCATTCACTTTTTTGGCCGGCGGAAGAAGAGCAGGGGTGGCCAATGGCTGCAGAATGCGAAAATATAAAATAGCACAGCTGCACCGGGGCCCTCTCTATCTAGCCATCCATTCTGCGCATCGCGATTCGTGCAAACACATTTTTCTTTTTTGTTTCTCTCACATAAAACATTTTTTGAAGTTCAAACCTTTGCAGCGTAGCAAAGTTTTCTATCTAGAATCTAGGATAAATCTTTTAGATTTTTTTGTCAAATATAAATATACAAAAATGATTTTTTAATGTAAAAAATCATTTTTTGTATATTTATGTTTGACAAAAAATTCCGAAAGATTTATCCTAGATTCTAGATGGAAAGCTTTGCCACGCTGCAAAGGTTTGAACTTCAAGACATCTTTTATGTGAGAGAAACAAAAAAGAGAATTTTTCATACGAAAAGTTAGTTGTGTTGCACAGATCTTAAAGCAATATTGGACAACCAGGATACCAGGGCCGGGGTGCAGCTGTTCTAAAAATCCACGTCCCTGCAGAATGTCACCGGGCACGGCCGCCATTGCCGCGCGCACCAGTTCGTGCGACATTAATGTGCCTCTTCTAGTCTAGTTACAAAACCCCAATGTCTGCCTCTAATCCTCCCTGTGAACGAAAGGCGCAAATTTGTAAATAAAACTGAAAATTATCACATAATCGCACAATAAAGGAAGAACCAGAGCGGGATTAAGTTACCAAATCTACATACCAGAGTGGGAGCAGAGTAGATGAGATACAAACGGAGGAGGATAGCAACCGAATGGATAGGGGGAGGAGGAAGAAGCCGAGAAGCTATGGTGCCTAGCTGCCTTCTGGAAGCCGAGAAGCTACAGCACGGCCAGTTCAGTTGAATTCAGGGGTTGTGTGGATGAAGTCTTCACAAGCAGCTCCTCAGTCAGGCAGCAATCTTGACCTCATGCCACAAAATCCAACGCCTGAGAATGGTGCCTGAGTCAGACAGCTTTTGTGAAAGTCAACCAAACTGTGCGCCCAAACTAGTATAGTAGTACTAGTACAAACCAGTCCACCAATTATTGGTCCGGTTTGAAAAAGCTGAAGCGAAAATATCTATCTCTTCTTACTCTTCTTACTTACATCAAACCCTTGGTCTGACTTACGTCGTCCCTACTCTTCGTTCGTCCTGCTCTGATTTTCTTTCACTCTCTCATTTTCTATTTAACAAGGTTTTCATCTGATGGCCCAATATCTGGTAACCCTCATTCTCTGCAATCAATATTTGGGAGCCCATTAAAATCATGATCGATAATCAATCTTTACAAATCAATCTCTCCTTTCTTTCTGAATATCTCAATATTTGGGATCCCATTAAAATCATGATCAGTAATCAATCTTCACGAATCAATCTCTACTTCCTCTATCACAGTTTAAAGGGCGTATCTCTAAAAACCAATTTTTTTCATAATTAGAGGGAAATAGGGCGCTGGTCATTAATTAGCCCGTTGAAATTACTCCTTCCGCTTGCCTTCGTGGTGCGCATGCATGGTGTGAACTGAAATTTTAGGTGGAGGTGTGAATCGGTTTTGTTTGCATGCATGGCTGTGCGAGGCCTTTTATTGGACGGGGAGGTTACTATGCGTTTGTTTGGCGATTAATTAGGCACATATCCTTAACTATCGCAGTTCCAGCGCATCATTTATTCCTGCCAATCGCTAGCAACCTTGGGCCCAAAGAGATGTGAGGTACGCCCTTTAAACTGAGAAGAAGCAATCCAATGAGTACGACATCGAGATTTGTTAACGAGGTTCACCGATATGGTTACATCCCCGGGGCCTGACTATGGTCGATCCTCCCCATGACACCATCACAATACCTAACCCGGTCGCCTTGGACGCCGGCACATGCCGCCGGCTTCCCCTACGTTCCTGTGCTATTATGTTGGCATATGTTACATCGTGTGTCTACCCCCACTATATATGAGAGGCCTAGGATAGAAGTGTCATACTAGGACACAACTCCACATCATATGTAAACATAATAC